TTACTGAGCTACTGCTTAGATACAAGTTAATCAGAGAGGTTAGGTTAGAAAGGAGTAATCCTTGTACTTATGATGGAGGATTCTAAATCAATTAGTGTTGAATGGGTGAACAATCAAATGAATGAAACAGTAAATAGACCAGGAACTAAAAATCATAAACTCCTAATAATCAGAAGTGTCTAGATTACACATGGCTAAAAAAAGTGCATATGAAAAAAATTTGAATCCATTTATATTAGAAAGCACCTATTGTTTGGAACCAGGCTATAAGCAAAAACAGATTCTAAAATGTAGCTACTGTCATATAGTGAAATTTTCCTCCTCATCCCTTCTTTGCCAATAGGCCCTCACTGGAGCAAAGCACCTGTCTATCTCCAGGGCCTAGCTCAGTGCTATACATCTGACAGATGCTCAGTAAACATTAAGAAAACCAAACTAATAACCATTAATGAAATGTTTATAGAATAAAGCTATTGGTAGTAATGTTAAAACAGAGGCTCATACAGTGTATACTTCCTGGTTAGAGACAGAACTATTAGTGATATAAAGGTTAATCCATTCTGGGACACAGGTGAATGATTCACAGTATGAATACGGTTTGGGCTTGGTTTTATTTAATAAAAGCTTTTTACAGCATAGGCATCTCTGTGCACTAATGCAATAGAATCATTTTAGTAAAGGATGTAACTGAACCAAATTTCTCCTTTAATAAATTCAGGCCTTGGAAGGTATCCTCTAACCCTGTTCACAAATTTGAGTTTAACTGCAAGCTTAAATAAAGTCCTATTTGAAATTTTTTTTAAATTCATAATTACAAGGCACAGTGTTTCTTGTCACATGCTCAGCAGATACCAAATCATTATGATCTAGGTAGTCAGAAGAAGTTTTTAAACTAGAAAAGCTTTTCTTAGGGACTCTGCTTATGACCTGAATGATAACTTTCATGAAGACACTCTAAAAACAAAGAGAAATCCTTACTTACCTCTTGCAGTTAAATTTCAATTATATGGAGCCCTGGATTTTTCCTGTAACCCTTATATTAAATTTTGTGCTCAGTATTAAAGGAATTAAAGTCAATTTCTTTACCAATGAATTATGAGGAACACAAATTAAGATGAAAGAATGAACAGGGAATATGCATGCAAATATTGTGCATTCATATTATTATACAGCATAATCTGTAAATCTAGTACTAATGAGACTCAAGATTTAAATGGCTGAAGAATGTGTTTAGTGAATTATTGTCAATCAATGCCTCTATTCCAGGATAAACATAATCTTGAATGGCAACACACCTATTATTACAAATTCCTAATTAAGTACAGTACTTCATTATTTCAAAATGTCACTGTCAATTTACAGAGTAACAGATAAACATCTTTTCACCATGTACCTACCTGATTACCTTTCCTTTAGAGTAAATGCAACACTATTAAGAAAAATTACAAACTTGTCATTTTTATAGCAATAAAAGAAATCTAACGAACATTAAAACTCTTAACTATTGTACCCCAAATTCTCCTATTTGTTAACGTGGATCTATTAGGGTTTTTTTAAATTGAAGTATCACTGATATACAATCTTACATTGGTTTCAAGTATACAATACAGTGGTTCAACAGTTAAGCATATTATTAAATCCTCACCCCCAGTAGTACAGTTACTGTCTGTCAATATATGAAGATGTTACAGAATCAATGGCTTTATTCTCAATGCTATACTACCATCCCCATGACCAACTTATATTATGATTGAGAATTTCTGTGCCCTTTTATCTCCCTCATCCTCTCTACCCACCCACCCCAACCCCACCCCTATGGTAACCACTAGTCACTTCTCAGGGTCTATTGGTCTACTGCTATTTTGTTCATTTTGCTTTGTGTTGTTTTGTTTTTATATTACACAAATAAGTGAAATCATATGGTATTTGTCTTTCTCTGCCTGGCTTATTTCACTAGCACAATACCCTCTTGGTCTATTTATGTTGTTGCAAATGGCAGGATTACTTTTTTTATGGCTGAATAATATTCCATTGTGTTTATGTACCACATCTTCTTTATTGATACATCAGGTTTTATACCATCGTAATCAAGTATAACTTTTTAAAGTAACATTATTCACATAAATTCTTCTATGTATTCATTTATTCAATCACTTAACAAACATTTATTGATTGCCTTTTTTATCCTAGATACACTGTTCAGGAATAGAGTTATAAAGATGAATACCACAAGACCCTTGCTTTTAACAGTCAGTATAACACAAAACAGAGACAAGAAAGATAAAACACAATATTACAGGGTTACATTAAAATTGTCTATATGTTTGCCATTTGCAGCAGCAAAAAGGTATTTATTGAGTATATTCACTATACTGGGAACTTCACCACTGCTGAGAAATCAAAATCTCTCCTATTTGTTCTATGGAAATCTTTTTTTTAATGAAATGCAAAGGGAAAATTTTTTTTTTTTTTTGAGAGGGCATCTCTCATATTTATTGATCAAATGGTTGTTAACAATAATAAAATTCAGTATAGGGGGGTCAACGCTCAATGTACAATCATTAATCCATCTCAGGCCTAATTCTCGTCAGTCTCCAATCTTCTGAAGCATAACGAACAAGTTCTTACATGGTGAACGAATTCTTGCACAGTGAATAAATTCTTACATGGTGAACAGTACAAGGGCATTCATCACAGAAACTTTCGGTTTTGATCATGCAATATGACCTATAAACAATCAGGTCAAATATGAATATTCATTTGATTTTTGTACTTGATTTATATGTTGATCCCACATTTCTCCTATTATTATTATTATTTTTATTTTTAATAAAATGCTGAAGTGGTAGGTAGATGCAAGATAAAGGTAGAAAACATAGTTTAGTGCTGTAAGAAGGCAAATGTAGATGATCAGATGATCAGGTGTGTGCCTATGGACTAAGTATTAATCCAGGCTAGACAAGGGCAGCAAGACATCCACGGATGCAGAAGATTTCTCTCAAAGCAGGGGGGGTGAGGTTCTGAGCCTCACCTCTGTTGATCCCCAAATTCTCACCTGATGGCCCCCCTGCGACTGTGCCTGTCTTAGGTTGTTCCTCCCTTGAGGAATCTTACCCGTCTCTGGCTAACCAGTCATCTTCCGGGGCCATACAGGGAAATGTAAAGTTGGTAAGTGAGAGAGAAGCCATATTGTTTGCAAAGGTTAGCTTTTTACTTCTTTGCAGATTTATGCCCTGTGGCTTCTATGCCCAGCACTTGTCTCGAGGTATCTTTACCACCTGGAGGAATTATGATACTCGGTAAATTCGATATGAGGCACGAATTCTATTTAAGGGTTGTAATTAGGAAGGAAGAAGAAAAGCTATAGATGTAGCATATGAAGGAAACTTGGGAGGATTGATTATTTCTTTGACATATCTTCTTGTATAGTACCTTAAGTATGTATAGGTTTTAAACTACTAACTAATTTGCACACACATATTAACATAATAGGAATACGGTGACATAAACAAAGCAAATCTATAATTACCATCCATCTCCAGTGAAGCCAAGAAAACCATTTAGGCACCCTAGGCATTTGTGAAAATTTATCTATGATATGATGGATATTGTCCAACTGTACTTGAACCATCAGACAAATTAAAGCAGCCCATTTCTGGGATCTGTTCACATCCCATATGTTCTTTTAACCATAGATAGTCTATAGTCATGAGATTGCAAAGGGAAAAATTTTTTAAAGATTATTTCATAAACATCTGTGGACTTAACATCTCAAGTTAACAAGTTTTAATATCTGCTTCATATTTTATCTTACAGCTATTGTCCAAGTCCAGAAATTTCTTGACTGATAAAAATATTTGAGATTATTATAGGTCCTACTAGTTATATAACCTTGGGTAAGTTAATTTAACCTATCTGATCCTCAGTTTTCTCATCTGAACAATGGAGATAATAGTACCAATCTGTGCTAGATTATCTTCCATTTGCCCCTTGGTATCCATGTTCCACCTAGCCTTTTGCCCTGGGAGATTTTCTTGCCTTTTAGTTTCTAGTTGGGTTGCCAATAGGAGGTACTAGCACATCAGTATGGAAGGAAAGTGAAACTGTCCCCTGGTTTCCTCCCTACCAAGTTACCATGGGCTGGCCATACCCCTCATAGAAGCAGTCTTCCATATACCACTCTCTTCTAGGTCTTCAGGCGTAGGGGTGGTAATGGCTCCCTTTAGCCCTGGTGTCTGTACTACCCAATGTTAACTTCCATAAAACTGCCCATATCTTTATAAACAGTTCCTTTATTAAACTTCTCAAATAACTCAGTTTGAAAGTGTCATCTGTTTCCTACCAGAACTCTGACTCAAATACAACCTCATGGGGTTGTTTGAGAGCACATGAGATGATAAATGTAAAGTTCTTAGCATGGTGCCTAGCATATTACAAATATTCAGTAAGTGTTATCAGTAAGTTGTTATCAGTATTGTTGTTATTATTTTATTTGTGGTTCCATGCTGATGTCATCTGTACTATCTGAATATGTCTGAGAGGCTGAGAAACTCATAATTCTGGGATGATCTACTAATTCATAGAGTGCTTCAAAAATAAGTTCAAATGTTAAGTGAGTTTATTGCTAATCAGTCTCAATACTTAAAAAGAGTAAGAGGACCTTCAAAGTGAGTTAAAAACCCATGTAGTAGAAAAGATTTCCTAGACTGTAGCTTCCTCTGGAAACATACTTTGGAATTGACTTCCTGTAAACTGACCTCCCACCACCACTTCAAATCTAACAACATATAAATGTCCATAAAGTTAAACAAATTGTTGGGTCCTGGGGTCATGAAAAGAATGTAAGGTTATGAAAGGTAAACTCGCATAAAAGTCCTTGGTTAATCTGGAAATGCATCTTCATCATCCTTATTTGTCAATCATGACACAGGCAAGCATCACCATTTCACAAATTATCTCATCAAAATCCTATAAAAGGTCTATTTAACCTTTCACCTTACCTCGTCCTTTATATCTTCCTGTTGTTGGGCTGTGAAGATCTCCATTGCAGCCATAAGTCTCATCATTAACTCATCCACTGTTGTGTTACCTACACATGGAGATTGCCAAACATCACATTATTAAAGTTATTTTAAAATGGAAAGCCATTTTAGAATTAATTAGTAAGGAATAGCTACAGTCTAAAAAGAAATTACAGACTAGTATGCTAATGTCTAGTTAAAATACTTTCATGTTTTCATTGAAAAGTTTCGTATGTTCAGTAAGGAGGAGTAAAGCAGTATACAGGCAGCTGAAACTTCAGAATATTTAGATTTGAGGAAAGTCTCTTAATAAGGATTTTTAGCAATACAAAGCATGTACAAGTCATGAGGATCAAAAGTTTTTTCAAGATATAAAAATGTATCTACTTAATAACACTAACAACTATCATTTATTTATATGCAGTGATTATGCTAAGCACTTTATATATATTATCGAATGCGTCATTTTCATTTTTATTCTAAAGAGAAGGAAAATGAGGCTTAGAGAGCACAAGTAACCTGTCCAACCAAGGTTAAGCTGGTTAAGTGGTGGGCCAGGATTTGAAACCATGAGTCTGACTCAGAACACCTGTTCTCTTTGCCAATTCATTACATGGTTTTCTTAGCATTATCTCCTATCACTGAAAATTCTTTGGTGAAACAAACAGTAATTGAATTTCTGAAAACAAATTGATTTTTCTTTTTTGTTCAATTGATATTTTTCTCTTCCAGCTGCTTTCAAATTACTATAGTCTTTATGAACAGACTATTTAAATGTTTTACTTTCCTTAACACCATATTATTCCTTAAGTCCCTAATAAGCAAATAGCACATATATGTCACTTCTTGAAGGCATTAAGTCCTGTTATTTGCTTTGGATCCATCTATAGAAGAGAAATTCATGAGGATACATAAAGATATAGGAATTCTTCTCTTCTTTCAAAACTATAGGCAAAACAGTATATCTTTTGCCAGGGACTGAGAAGGGGTCCTTTTGTCCCACTAGTGAAATGGCCACCAACAGAACAAATATCAATCATCTTTGCTGGTGTTCTTCCAGAGTACAGCATGGTCCTTTTTCAATTTTCCTTATGATCATTGGCAGCATGGAAAGTAATGATCTAATAGGGTCACATCAGCACTACACTCTTAATGAATGAGCTGCAGAACAAATATTATCTTGGTGTGGTATCATGGTACTGAGAAAGCAGATGGGGTTTTATAGTCGTAGTTCTAACCCTAGTTCTGCTACTTACAAACTATATGATATTGTACCTAGAAATCACTGAGCACATGACAGACAGAAGGGCTTAATATTCATTTAGTAAACAAATGAGTAAGTGAGTGAGTGACTGTATCTCTCTAAGGATAAGTTTTCTTATCAGCAAAATGAAGATAATGCTACCTCTGTAGGTTTCTTATAGGGATTAGAGATGAAGTAACTGGTAGATAGTATATGCACAATCACTGGTGGTTATGAATAGATACAAGCGGCAAAAAATTTGAGTCCCTTCAATGTACATTGTGTTACTGGACAAATCTTTGGGTTTCTGTTTCTTATTTGTAAACTTTAGTGAGTCAGACTCAGACTAGGGGCATAAATACTTTATGAAAGGTACTGGAATCGTCAGTGGGAAAATATTATAGTTGTATAGATGACTACATACCGGCTATTTGATTTCAGGCTTAAGTCACTGCTATTAAGGACTCACTGTCAAACTGGACACATAGGTACTTAATACATAAGCCCTTAATGATCTAAGATGGAGTAATGGTATCATTCAATGCAGGTCAGGGCAAATTTATTTTTAATAGCCCATGGCAGAGATTTTCAACCTTTTTGGTTTCACAGCCCCTTTACACTCTTAAAAACTATTGAGATCACCCCAAAATTGTTTATGTGGGTTACTGCTATCAACATGTGTTAGAAATTAAAACTGAAATATTTAAAACATATTTATCAATTCATTTAAAACAATAAACCCATTACATGTTAAAATAAATACATTTTCATGAAAAGTGACTGTTATAAAAGAAAAGGTTTAATGAATAGCATTGCTTCAACAATTTTGTAAATCTCTTTAATGTCTGGCTTAATAGAATACAACCGGATTCTCATATCTACTTCTACATTAAATCAGTTATATTATCTTGATTGAAATTTATGAAGCAAATCTGACTTCACACAGATATGTAGTTGGAAAATGGAGGAGTATTTTAATAGGTAATTGTAGATATTCTTCTGCAATACACCCAACTGACAAGTGGAAGTTTCTTTGAGGTTAGATATGGGAGGAATTTGAAACCATATCAATGAGCTTTTTGTACTTTGTTATATTAAAATCCACCAGTCCATCTTGCCCTTTGAATGGATTTTTTACCCATGTATGGTTTTATAACATCATACATTGGTCATTTGGAAAATACTGGCTCACGAAGCCATGCATTTCTTCTGAATGCTGTCACGCCTAGTTACATACCAAAAAATGACATTTGTTAACATCATCACTGATGCTATCAGAAAATTATTTAACCTGTCAATCTTATCGTAGAGTATGATATCACTTTTTACTTAACAGCTCAAATTTAATCACTGGCAACAAGTACTGTCAGTTCTTTTTCTTGAAATAATAGACTCGCTTTGTTCATTGTGGAGAAAATGTCTGCCAAATACTCACGCTATATAAATATAGAAAATGTCTGTCAGTTATTTTCAAGCAAAAAAAAAAAAAAAACTAGTTCAGCTCAAGCAACCACACAAGTGCTTTTCTTGGAGACTACCATTCTACTCTGAAATGCAGCAGAAGTGCGTAACCATACCTCCTACTGTGTCACATAAACTATAAAAAGGGCTAAAACTTAATAATAAAAGTAATACATTTTTTAGCTGCAAGTACACGGAGGTGAAGAATGTGATCACTATTACAGTTTTTGTGTCTAGGCCTTGATTTGTGCTCAGGTGCCAGCAGTTTCACACAACATTGATTTTGTACAGCCAGTGCAAATGTCAACACAGTAAAGAAGGCAAAAAAACCCGTTTTATCACTGCTATGAAAATAATTTTGATCTCACAGATCTCCTGAAAGGGATTAGGGGACCTCCAGGATCCATGGACCACTCTTTGAGAACCACTAGTTATTGTAATATTGCCTCTGACAGGGCAAACAGTAATGAAATATTATCTTCATTATCCATTTACCCAATGCAATTTGTTCCCCCAGCAGGTCTTCTTTTAATATTGTTTATGAAACCCTATTCTCTAGTTATAGGGAAAACATAAAATACCAGAGGTTTTATTTTATTTGAGTTTTGAAGGCCCTAGAACTTACATACCCCTACCTCCCATTGTATTATCCACTACAGAACTTTTGACTTAAATAGGATAGGAGCAGAAATTAAGAATCTCAGACACAAGTTTTAGCTTGGGGCACTTGAAACTTTTTCCCTGTACCATAGAGAAGATACACTGTTTTTAATTTAAGCTTTGCCATGAATAAAGTAATATTGTATACTAATCCTTAGGGCACATTAGTAACAGTAAAACATCATTTTTTTTTTTGTAAAGAATGTGCACTGTGATTAAATTCACAGGCATCCTATAGCTTTATGCCTTAGGGTTGCATCCTAGATATGGATTCACACAAATAAGTGGAAACAACCACTACTGTGAACAATTCGTCACTTGTTTTTCTAGATAACTATGATAAGTATTTTTTTCAACTAATCAACATTACAGCAAGAAATCAACACATATAAGAAATGTCATTTTTGACAACTGTTAGTTTGGACTTAATTGCTAGTTTAGAGAATTTACAATTCTGAACACTTAGCATGATAGCATGATTATCCTGTCCCAAGGGCTGTGCAATTTTATTATTTGTTAGGTTTTCATGCAACATATTTCATTTTTCATAGCACTTACCATTTTTTGAAGATAATTCTTTTTCAGTGTGTCCTCTATTCTAAAATGAAGAGCTATTCACCAGTACAGAGTTATTGTCAGCTTTGATGGTAAATATTACAAGGTTATCATATCACATATACAACAAGACACTCAACTCCCCTTGTGACAGGTACTTTACCTTGTATCACATTTAATACTTCATTAGATGATCGCTTTCCCATAATAATCAGAAAAAGTGGAAACTGATCTGTTTTTTGAGTCCGAATGGTTTGTGCAACAACACTGCCAAAGTGTCTATTGCACATTGTCAGAAATCTAAAATGAGACAAAATCCAAAGTTTAATAAAGTTACAAGTACCCCAACAAAACTCATTGCTTTATTAGTTACATTAAAATTAGACTGATATCAATATGTAAAATCTTGCTATATTGAGTGTTCAACTACATCATAAATACACAGAAATGTTTATCATATAAAAAGGGAGGCAGTACACTCTACATGCTGTCTGGGACTGACAGTATAGGATTCTGACCTTAAACACTGCAAGATGCACTACCCTAAACTCTAAGAAAAATAAACAAAATTTTATTTTAAGAGGAAAGAATTTCTTAACTAGGACAGCTGCTGTGTAGTACAAAGTTAAATTGACTAGCATCATTCTAGTCTAAACAGTTGACTAAACAGTAGCAACATTTTTCACAAGTCTTTAGAATCATGAATTATACTTTAGGATTGTTTTCTTCAGTGGTGGCAGGGTCTTTTAGTTTCATACTTAATATGAGATAAAAATAATAATTCTAAGCTTTTGACCAAAAAAAGCTCAGCGATATTAGCATACTGAAGTCTAGCATTAGTATTCTTAACACGATCTGGAATAAATGAAAAAACTGATAAAGCTTTTCTCTTCTATTAGAGGACTGTTTGAAATTAGCATTTCTTTCAAGAGAAAAGGGTAGCTTATGATATGTTTTCAGATCTGATGGTAAAAAGTAAATGTCATAATAATAATGAATTATGAAAGACCAAATGCAAATATGGAATGCTTTAATAAGATCCAATTTAATAAAGTCTGTAAAAATAATGGACTTTTAATAACATAGGTCACAAAAGGCAAAACAGTGGAAATTCTGGGGACTAGCCACTGGTACTGGCTTATTAATTCTTAATTATGTTCATGAAAGGCAACTTAAATCGTGTGTTTTCTTATGCCTTATGATAATATTTTAGGTAACAACTGCTCTGAAATGTATGTTCTAGCTGATGAGCAAAGTCCTGTTGTCACATGCATTAGAAGGTAAATCTATTTGAAAAGACAAACGGCATTAAAATGTCATGTGCTCAGATTCATTTGATATCCAAATTCAAAACAGAATCAAACCTCTTAATTTTTAAAGCCAATATATTTTTGTCTATAGAAAGTCATCCCAGAAATTTAGGCTGAATCACCCACAAAACCTGTGCTGTGACTACGAAAAGTAGAAGGTGTTAAGGCCACTAGAACTGTTGGCAAGAGTGTCAAGACAAGTTAGCACCACTACCGTCAAGTTCACTGGGAGGCAAGTTCATACATAAATTTAGAGCAGCATTAACCAGACCTCATGGCGATTTGAAATGACAAGGCCTGAGAATTGCATTGTTGGCCATGAAATATCCATGTTCCTATGAAAATTCAGATCTTCACATTTCAGAACTATAATGGGATAAAAGGTACTCAAATAGCCTAAGGCTCCACACCAAATTTCACACCCATAAAGCTTCAATTCATCAGTGGAGATAGGTAGATCAGAAGACTAGAAAGCTAGAATCTCACTTTTCTTTCTGCTTCTTGCTAAAATATTTGAAGTCAGTCTTGATCCTCATCTGATCATTGGCAATCTCTGAAATTAAAGATGTCAAAAACCAGTTGGAATGCCATTTCTTACAAAAGGGAGAAAATAAATCCTTGTTGCTTTCACACCAATGGATTGAGTGGCTATCACACAGTAGATGCCCATCACAGCACTAGCCTCACAAGTGATATTATATACTAGCTAAACAGGATAGCCCCCAAAAAAAGGAAGAAAGGAAAGAAGCCAGGAAGAAGAAAATAAAGAAAGAAGGAAGGCTGGTAGGCAGGCAAGCTGGCTTAGTTGCTTAAGAACTCAATTTCAAGACAATTTTGCCTGCAGTTGTGTAATTCTGAAATTATTTTTTGTGAAAATGAGCTTGAAGGGAAAACAAATAAGGAAATATAAGTATCTTGTTGGGTTTAAATTAATATATAACACAAATTTCAAAACACAAAACATTCAAGAGGTGCAGCCTTCAAAGGCATATTAGCCATTCAATTAACTACAAAACACAACAAAGTGATTAGTTTTCTACCAGGTATTGGCAAATCATTCTAATTTTTTGGAAGCAGTTGAGAAACATACAAGGATCACAAAGTCAGCTGATGCTTTCTAGTGGCCCTACCTAACAATTTGTTCTAATTAAGAGAGAGTTTGTTAAAATTTTAATTAACCTGATAAATCTTCCTAAGATTCGAATTATGTTTACTTTAAGATTTTCAAATTGCAGTCACAGAGAGCCTGTAGGGTCGATGGATAGACCCAAATTACAAAATTCCTACTGGTCAGTTCCTATCATAACAATTTATAAGAACTTCACAACACAGATATCAAATCTTTCTCAGGGATGGGAGGCTCTGCTTCTTCCTCTCAACATCATTCACAGCGCAAAGTTATCATTCACAGCACATTACCGGCAGTAAAAATCCAGTTAAAAACATCATAATAAAACAGACATGGGAAAACAAGTTGTTTTAAGATAAAAAATGTGGTTCTCATCAACTGTGGGATTTTCTTTATTTTGAAGAGACAAAGTGCACCAGTGCACCCAGTGGCAACACCAACAATGTCAACCTAACTGCATATAGTGTTCATCAGATTCATGTGTCAGGAATCGTTGCCATGGCACCTGGATTCCTGCAATCTTAAACCCAAAGGGGGAAGCAATGAAAACTGCTCTGGGGCAAGGAAAAATGGCTTTGTTTTTTATTTACAAAAGATTTCAATAAATTAAACAACCTACTCATCACAGACTTCTTAAAGAGGGGCAATACAAGTTGCCATATCAACACCCAAAGCCAAAAGCTAGAGTGAAAAATCTGAAGACAAAGAATAAACACCCTCACTAAGGGGGTAAAATGAGAGGAGGAAGAAGGGTTGAGAAAATGAGTGAAGAGAAAATGGTTAATCAAAAATGAGGTATAATAAAGCAACTCATTGGTCCCTGGGAAATGGGTGGTGGTAGTAGGATTAGGCAGTGGGAAGTCTCAATCTTTGGCCTTAGTGAAGAAACACTACAATCAGTATCGAACATCACTAGTTCTTGCTTTTGAGATCTAAAATTGGGAATATAAGATAAAGTTTTATCTCTAAAGTTTGGGGAGAAAACAGAACATTTGATGGCTAGCATATATTAATCATTAATAAAATTTTTAGTCTCTGAAGCACAAATCTTCTCGATCGTACAAATGGAAACCAGAATTACTAATAAATCAGATATGGGAAAAGGTAATCTCACTTTAATTCAAAACAGGATATAGTTTAGTTTCTTTCAATGGAAGCATAATTAATCATGAGTTACTGACTTTTATTAAGTTATAATCCAACATAAAATATATACTAAAAGAAACAGCAATTTAGGGAGAGGGTCATGAAATTCTACAAACATTTAGCAACTATACACCAGGTAATGTGAAAGGAGGCACATCTGATTAAAAAATGGAGGCCACAAAAATGCCAGCAACTCTGTGTGAGAAGATGTAAAGTGGGTTTAACACTTCCCTTTAAAACACTTACATTCTCACAGGATACAGCAAAACCTCAGAATTATGCTTAGATTATGATAGGTCCTTAAATATGGTAGCTATTTTATTATTATTAATTGCAAGGTGATGTTTACATTTTTATCATAATTACTTTCAGGACTAAAATGATACCTATACCTACAGGCCAACACTGGAAGATTTTTTTTGCACTGTTTAAGATATAGCATCAAAGAGTTGCTGACTAAAACAGTCATTGGTTTTATTTTCATTCAGAGAATGAAAGGACAGGTATTGATATTTGGAAATAAGAAAATAAATGTTGCTTCAGCTGTGTAACACTACAAAACTACACATTAAAAAATGATACGAAACTAAAATCACTTCTTTTTAAATACATTTATGTTTAGTAATGGTAATCAATTAAAACCAAGAATTGACATAAAATTTCTAGCAACTTCCTGATAATGAGTGAACCATTACTCCAAAATGGGAGGTTATTGAGAAGAAATTCATGTACAGCAGTGCTTACAGGACTTCTCCAATATTACCCAACAGTTTAAGGCAAGTCTTTTGTATACACTTCCTTAGCTGCAGCTGCTAACCTTATACTCCTTTTTTTGAAATCACTTTGGTTTAAGGAAGCTCTTCCCTTTAAAACCTATCAAAATAGTGGTTTTTTGCTATAGTAATAAGCCTATTTACACAAATTCATTCATGTGTCCAGGATTTGTTCAATCACATTTATATATGTCAGTAGAAAAACCAGAACATAAGATAAATAAGAGACATAAGAGATCATCTATATATCCAACCAACACATAATTCTTCCTTCTCCTTTTTCTTTTAACAGGGAAATTAAAGCCAAGGTCCTCTGAGACTTGTTAAGTTGCTAGCACTGTCAAACATACCAAAACCAGGAGAGCCAAAGAGTTTTGTCTTCTATCACAGCATCATTTCCACAAGTCTGCATGCTTACCCTATTGTTCAGCCTTATCTGGAATTCCCAATGGAAATGATCTTCAGCACCCGTGGCACATGCCCCTCGTCCTTTGAGGGTACGTTTGATTTCTGGAAATAGTCCTAAGTCTTTGTTTCAAACAATTAAGCAAACGAGGTACATGACTAAGCTGGGGCACACTGACTGGGGCAGTCATCTTCAAGCTTAAATGGCTTAGGAATCATCTAGGGAATTTAAAAAATTTAAAAGCAAGTTCCTCAGCCCCATCCCTCAGAGATTCTGATGATTCTGATTCAATATCAGAATGAGCAAAATCATTTGGTACTTGTTTTTCTCCACCTGGCTTATTTCACCTGGGGTAAGGTCCAAGAAACTGCCTTAAAAGCTGCCAACCAACCCCAGGTGACTGTGATACAAGAAGTTCATGAACCACACTTTGAGAAACATTGCTTTCAGGACACAGGAATCCTTTCCTTGGAAAGCTTTAAGCTGTCTCTAAAGTTCTTAAAGTTATATCCACTGGGCAATGATAGCTTCAGTGG